CAACTTCGTTTTCTTGATGCACATTCCGTGATTATCTATCTATTAAAGATCAAAATTAAACGTGAATCCAGCCAAGATTATCTTATCCTCTTTCTACTGTAGATTTTAAGTTGGGAAGCCCTTTTTAATCAACACTTCAAGGAATCCTTTGTTGGGATTCGATGCATAGGATCCAAATTTCCTTTACTCTAACCAATTTTACTTATTTGTAAGTTGTCAACATGACTTGATGGTTTACAGAAGTTACCTTTCATGGAAAAATGAATTTTTATTATTTTATTATTTATTATTTTTATTTTATTTATTATTTTATTATTTATTATTTTGTTATTTTTATTATTGATGAAGTGATTGTTACTTTAGTCACCTAATATGGCACATACAGGAACAGTTCTAATGAAGGTATTTGTTAAGTGCTTTGACAGCCTGAACTGATGTTGAAATTCAAGACTTTCAGATCTATGAGTACACTCGCCAAGGGCAACCAGTTTCCTGCGGATGTTGACCAAGAGATCTTGTACAAAAATATAAAATAAATTCACAAAAATATTCCAAATAAGCCTCGTGGTAGACTCATTCTCATAGTGACTTGACATATTCCCAGTTCCTTCTCAAGCCTCTGTTGCAATCATCACAGCTCTGTAATAACTATTTACAACCCACACATTACCAGACTTTACTTTTTCTAAGTCTACATTTGCTTCTTTTGCACTTAAATAATTTATGGTTTTTATCCAAGTGTCTGGGTAATGTTGCACCTCATTATTGACAACAAAAGAACTGGCTAAAATAATTGTGCTGAACATGTAGGCTGTTTTAAGTCAATTGCTGGAGAAATTAGCTTGCTTCTAATCAATAAAATAATTGTATTGAATGGGGTGGATTCTAAAGACATGCCTTGTCTTTTCTCATTTATAACTATGTCACCTGGGATGCCTGGGTCACACGGTTAAGCATGTGCTTTTGGCTCAGGTTATGATCCCAGGGTGCTGGGATCGAGTCCCACATTAGGATACTTGCTCAGTGTGGAGCCTGCTCCTCCCTCTGCCTGCTACTCTCCCTGCTTGTGCTCTCTCTCTCTCTCTGAAAAATAAATCTTTTAAAAATAAGTCACCTTTTTTTTTTTTTTACTTCTCTGTTGTTTCCCCATTGCTTAGCATTACAAACAACTGATAAATATTTTTGAATAAATGAATATGTTGATGAAATGTCTAAAAAATATAAAAATATACTTTTTTTTGTAATGTAATTACAGTGTATCTAAATGTATCTAAATCCACCCTCCTTCTCCTTGGTATTTTTACTGGAAGCATTAGTTTTCCTGTGAGTTGCAAAGCTAGCGATTACCAGTCTGTGCTTACAATGTTTATGTACACCTCCCTTGTGTTTATTGTTATCTGAAAATATTTCCGAAGACATTTTTAGATATTCAAGTTTCACTTATCAGTCCTTTTTACTTGCTTGCTCTTGTAATTATTTAATTAAATACCATTTTCTTGCCAATAGTCAGTATATTTAATGATAAAACACTGAAACATTGAGGAATTTATGCTACACAAAAACAAAGAAGTCTGCTTTCCTTTTTTAATTTAACATTGCTCTGGAAATACTGACCAACATAATAAGGGATGAAAGGGTAATAGAACATAACTTGGAAGATGAAGAGGTAAAATACCATTATTTGTAGAGCTATAAGCTTGCTTACTTTGGTTCTCCAGGTGCAAAACAAAATCAAACCAAAAAATTTCAGTATACAGCAGCGGTTCTCAAGATGTTATTCCAAGACATTCTCAGAGGTCTGATGAGGTCAAAGATATTTTCTTGAAAATACTAAGATGATTTTGCCTTTCCACTCCCCTTGTCTCATTTTTCAGAAACTATGTGATGTGCTTTCTAGTAAGCTGAATGCAGAAGCATATAATCGAATCTGTTTTCTACTAATCCAGAAACTTAAGAATTTTTTTTAAGGTTTTATTTATTTACTTGACAGAGAGAGTGAGAGCCAGAGAGCATGGGGCAGGCGGGGTCGTAGGGAAGCAAAGGGAGAGGGAGAAGTGGACTCCCCACTGAGCACAGAGCCGGATATGGGAGTGGGGCTCCATGCCAGAACCCCAAGATCATGTTGTGAGCCAAAGACAGACATGTAACTGACTGAGCCACTCAGTCATCCCCCTTATCTCTTTTTAAGATTTTATTTATTTATTTGACAGAGAGATCACAAATAGGCAGAGTGGCAGGCAGAGGGAGAAGGAAAAGCAGGCTCCCTATTGAGCAGAGAGCCCAACATGGGGCTCAATCCCAGGACCCCGGGATCATGACCTGAGCTGAAGGCAGCTAACCAACTGAGCCACCTAGGCGTCCCTGGAAATTGAAGAGATTTATAAAACTACAAAACAATTCCTCTCTTCTCACTAAATATTTTTTGATTTTGGAAAACAATTGTCTTCATAAAATTTGGTTATTTATATTAACATATAATGGCCTTCTTGTTATTTTTACACAAATTAAAATTTTGAAAATTAGAAATTTTACTAAATATAGTAAATGTCAATAGTTATAACTCACATATATAAAAGACCCCTGATGTTGTCAGTAATTTTTGACACTGCAAAGTGGTTTTGAAATAAATAGAATTTGAGTATTGCTAGTGCAGAGAATGGGCAATGTGTATTTGTGTATACAGCAGCAATAACATAATATAATAATATAATAATATAATTCACAGTTATAATTCAAAAGGCGAGAAAGCAGAATGCCTAAGAATAACCTTACAGACCTACAGGAAGCATATAAAAGTACTCTATTTCAGGATATTAAAGGGGAGTCGATAAATGGAGATGCATACCATGTTCTGTGATAGGAAGTTTCACTATTACAATAATGTTCAGTTTCCTTAATTAACTTATGAGTTTCATATATATCCAAATAATGCAAATATGTTAAACATGTGGGAATGAAAGTTTCTGTAAAATTTAATTAAGCGATTCTAAAGTCTACGCAAGAATAATAGATTAGTAGGGCGCCTGGGTGGCTCAGTTGGTTAAGCAACTGCCTTTGGCTCAGGTCATGATCCTGGAGTTGCAGGATCGAGTCCCACGTCAGGCTCCCAGCTCCATGGGGAGTCTGCTTCTCCCTCTGACCTTCTCCCTGTTCATGCTCTCTCTCTCAAATAACTAAATAAAATCTTTAAAAAAAAAAATAGATTAGTAGCTACACAAAACATTTTTAAAAGAATAGAGAGGCCTGCCTTATCTTTATTAAAGTATCTCATAGCTTCATTGTGCACTATGCATATATGTGCATATATCTATATTTATATGCATTTAATGTATAATCAATGAAGCTTTTTTGTTTAACTTCACTCACAATAGAGGATTTATAAATGTAAACAATTCTTATCATTTCACTAAAGATAAAATATTAGTACTAGGGGTAATAGCATAGCTAAGCATTTGTAAATCATTGCAGGGGTAACTGTAAATTATAACAATCTTCCTGGGTAGCTACTTGATATTATAAATTATGTGTATTAAAATCTTCACAATATTTAATGTGACAAATTTATTTCAAGCAATCTCAATGAAATATTCAGAAATGAAAAAATATTTATACTTAAATATGTTTGCAGCAGCACTTTTCATTATAAGAAATTTTAGAACAGCATAGACATCTACATATCTGGCAGGGATTAAGTTAATATGGTAATGACAAAAAAAACTATACGTAGAAAAATATTAAATAAAAATAGAGAATATGCCTTTCTGTATTAGTTTTTTACAGTAAATATATTACTGTTAAAGTTTTCTAAAAAGCATTACCATTCAATTAGCTTTACACAGAACGATTGAAGTTTTAATTTATAGGGTTAACAAATCAGACAAATGAAATTTTATATTGTGTTTCCATTCTGGATTACATGCTCTTTTTCATCTGACAGTAACTTGCTGGGGGTAGTGCCCCCATCTTCACAGTGTGGTTTTTGTCCATTTACCAGTAGTCTAACCTTAAACAAGTCACTTTATCTTTCTTGGTCTTCAATTTCCTTGCCTATCAGATGATGCTCCTTCCAATTTTAAAATCTGGAAATTAAATGATAAAGATTTCTGAAACTATATGCAGAAACATCTTTTCCTACAATCTGTATGTCTCTCTTTTACTACGCAATTTTCTCCTAACACATTCTCTTCTATGTTTTGTACTTCTGGATATTCCCATCCTCTGCTCAACATCTGATGACTGAAGGGATTATAATGTCGTCTTTCTGTCTTTCTGAACTATTCAAGACGGCATCCAGATCTGAGTGTCCCTATATGAATGTTGCTGAGTGATTGTCATCTATGGATCTTTGGTGGTATTTTGGTGATGCTATGACAATTCTATTGTCATCGAACTTATAAAAAGTCTGTAGAAATTCTAAAAATCTAGATACACATGGGCTAACTGAAGTGTGATAGTGAATTGTTTTTGCCTTTGCTTCTTATCTTAGCCTGTTTTGTTGGACCTTATTGATAAATACACTGTACACTTATACACAACCCAGGCTCGGCTGCATATGTTTAACATTCAAAACGATGAGCACTTTGGAAACACTTGCTCTGTGATGAAGCTATTATATATTATTTAACTTGTAAGTTTGCAATCAGATATTTTAACTCTGGGGTGCTTACTAAAAATCATGGCTGTATTTAGTAGTTAATTTAAATAAGTCACTGAAGAGGTTAATGGATGAGCTACAAACGCATATTGATACAATATGATATAATATGATACAAAATGATATGTTCCATACAGATCCATTCACTTGATATCCATACCATTTTCTTATTTATCTTATTACATTCTTTAGTATAAAGTCTTAATCTATGTTGTATACTTCAATTGGAAAACCAAGCCTTAGACTTGATTCTCTTTGTCTAATTCGTCAACTGGGGTGAAATATACACTGTTTGATGCCTCCATGTGATTCATGTGTACTGATGAATTTCTTTTTAAACTTGCAGCAAATAGTGGCAGCAATAAATGCAGGGATTATACCTTTAGGAAACACCTCCAATCAAATCAGTCACTGGGATTTGGGAAGTTCCTTCTTCTTTGCTGGCACTGTTATAACAACTATAGGTAGGAGACAACTTATTTTGTTTTTTAATTTTGGTGCAGCTTGTGAGCTAAACTTCATGTTTGAATTTTTCTTTTACAGTTGGTCAAACTGGTCTATGGAAGGTAGAAAGCTAGATTTTAGTAAATTGATTTTGAAAAGAGGGTTTAAATGTTGAACAAAGGAATGATGGGAATGAATTATTGTACCAGAATACTAAGTTAAGTTTAAAATGCGTGTGAACCCAGAGCAAAGCATTTGAGTCATTTGACTAATGGATAGTAATGTCAAGAAATGGCTTGAAATGATGGTTTGGGGGGGGTGCAAGTAGTTTCAAATTTTCCTGCATCTTTGATTTTTTAGTGTAGAAAGAAACGATTTAAGTACGGTTTTGACATTCTTTTCGTGACGCTCTTATTTGAGATCACCTTTTTCAATTTACAAATTTTAACTCACATTTCAAAGGATTGTTCCTGTTCTTATATGCTTGTCTATTATAATGAATTCAAGGGTTTTAAAAACATACATTGTTTTTGCAATAGCGCAAATGTATTAAAAAATCGACACTGAAATATGAGGATTACAAGAATAATTTAAATTTAAGCCCTTGCTGTTTGCCTTCTATTCATGTTTGTTGTCATGTAAAAAGGACCACATATTGGAGCACAGTCTCTTTTTGGGTTGACGATGCATACACTCAGCGCCTTCTTGGAAACAGAATGGGTATATATACATGACTTTGCTTCTGGTAGTTAGTCATTCAGTGCCTAAGAAATATCCACAGGCTATAAATACAGACCCCATAGTGAAAATCACATTTGCCACGCTGGGGGATTGGGAAGAGTTACAGCTGTCTTTTTTCATGGAAGGAGGTGGGTTTAAAGCGTAATTTTCAAGATAGGGAAGGAAATGACTCATCTCAGTTACGAAGGAATTTTAAGTGGAAGAAGAATTCTTCCCTTCTACATATGCTTTTGATGAGATTTCCTCTCATGGGCCTGGTGTCTGATTTTGGGGTGTGAATTATGATTCTTAAAAAGTTTTCATTTTCGTATGTGATGCCATTGATAAATTATGAAGTAGATAAGGTTTTCAAATCAGTGCTTTATATCAACTCCTAAATAAGAGGACACAGACAGCATATGGATGAACTCTTGCTTAAAATTTTCCTTTGAAGGGAGACAAACCATAAGAGACTCTTAATCTCACAGAACAAACTGAAGATTGCCTGGGGAGGGAGAGGGTGGTTGGGTTATGGACATTGGGGAAAGTATGTGCTATGGTGAGTGCTATGAAGTGTGTAAACCTGGCGATTCACAGACCTGTACCCCTGGGGCTAATAATACATTATATGTTAATAAAAAAAATTTTTTCCTTTGAGAAACATTTGTAGAGTCCTGGAATTACCTGAATCCACTGTAATGCCTCTTTGTGCTTGGTCACGTGCCAGTGAAATCAATACCTGAACATGTTGATTTTTGCCTCTGTGAAGAGGTCAGGGAACTATATTTACTCTTACATTTCCACCAGCTAGGTCTAAAGTGGTGTGGCTGTGAAAACCTGGAGGAATGGCAACCTTGATTTCTAACCATAATAACAGGTTAACTTTGGAGCTTAGACGTCTTGGCCCATTTCTACTATGGAAATAACTGTTTATTGTATAAACTACTTAGAGTCTAGAAAGGGCGGGGGAACCTCACAGACTGAGTGAGAATGGTTAGCTTCTGCCCCATGAAAACTCAAAAGTCCAGGTTCTAACTCCTCATGACCACCGCTGAATTATTCTGCAAGAGACTTAGTCATTATACTGACTTACGGTTGCATCATGTGTTTGTAAACAGTCTCATTTTTTGAATCCCAAATTCAGTAAGTTTTGCAGACCTATACTTCCACACATGAAAAAAATAAACCATTATTACCAGCCTTACCCCAAATTATAGCCATTAAGCATAGGAGCTGATTATTCCAGTTGTGTAGGTAGCTTCCGACAGCCCAAATCACCTCCTGTTCTATCTCAGACTTTAGTTTTAGGAGTATTAAGTCATTCCAGGTCATCCACATTTCCTCCACGTTCTTTTATTCCCAGGTCAAGGTCATCTCCTCTGACCTTAGACTAGGTTATGGTCTAGGACAGGGCAAAAATTTTGCCTTCTTGCATACGTGTCCATTTGACATCCAAATCACCATTCAGTAGAATTCAAAGTATAATTATTTAATCTTCATCATGATCATAATCGTGTGAGCTTTGAAGTGGTTTTTAGTAATCTCAGAAATTGTAACCTCTAGCACTAGCTGCATTGTATTAGTCATTTAAAGGAAGAATTTGAGACAGTTTTGGAGGAAAAATTGCAGTGGATTTTATGGGGAGCGAGGTATAGGCGAGGCTTCCCAGAGCTGCGTTAGCTGCTGCTGTCCAAGATTCGTCTATTCAGCATTATCCATTTGTCGAAGAAGCCACAGAGACTCTTGCTGTTCATGGGAAATATGTCCAAAGGAAATTCAACTATACGAAACAGATTATTAAAACTTAAGGCCTAATTTTAGAGACTTTCTTTATGTATCTGCACACTCTTTCCAAAATCATACACTTCCAAACCCTGCACAAATTCCATTCCACAGTTGCACAGACTATAATCCAACCTTGACTGTTCTCATTCCCTCAGACCTGATTTACAGTCTATCGATCAGTTCTGTTGGCTCTGACTTTAAAGTACATGCATAATGTAACCACCGCACAACCATTCAAACTGCCACCATTTTGGTCCAAGGCGGCACTGTCTCAGTGTCAACATCCTTGCAGAAAGAAGCCTTCTGCTGAGAGCGTCTCTGTGCTCTCTACCTCAGAGCAAACACTGTACTCCTGCCCACCTCATCTAGTGAGATGCACTTTCTGTGAGGTTAGGGATTTTATGTGTTTGAGTCTTTTCTGTATCCCCATGCTTGACCCATAGTGGATGCTTAACAATCAGAACTAATAACAAATAAACATTCAATGGTATGAACTGTGTGGCCTGTTGTAAATTATGTAACACTAAATTGATACCTATTATACTATATTCTTAGCTCTTTCAACAGATTTTAGTGCCAGCTTTTTTGCTAGTTTGTTCATTTGTTTATTCAACAAATAATACAGCACCGTCACTCTGCTACTATCAAGATAAAAGATAAATAAATTACTTGACCCTAAGCTGCACACATACGAATAGTCATTTATAATACAGAGTACCACATGCTATGGGTTAAGAGTATTTAATGGGAATCGATAGGAACTACACTTTAGGTAGATACCGGGATAGGAGGATGGGTACGGAAGGGACAGTACTTTCCTTTTCTTAGCAAATGTTGTCCCAGTTGAGACCTGGAAGAGAATTAGGAGTTTCCCAGGTGAATGAAGGTGGAAAAGGAACACTCTAGGTATTGGGAGTTTGTGTGGGACAGATTAGGGCCAAGAACATTATGTTCTGTTTGGGGATTGCAAGTTATCTAAAACTGTTGTTTGTAGTCGAAGGGATTCCTCATCAGGACCATGTAAATCAGTAAGTCAGCATGAGTGGCTCCTGTTGGATCAGTGCTACTTCTGTCACTGCTGGGATAGAAGAGACACAGCCCCTGCTTGCGACCCAATTTGGGAGAGAAAATGTACACTTGTGAAATAACTGGAGGATAACAGAGCTAAGTCTTGTGTAATCAAGTGTTGTATGGAACAGTGGTTTAAACAATGGTTTAGGAATTGAGAAAAAGGAAAGTACATGTGGGCTGGAGCTAGGAGGGGAGGTTTAATGAGAGAAGTTGGATTTCAGCTATAGCTTTGAAGGAAACGTTTTGGTTTAGATCAATGGAGGGGGAAAGGGCCTCTAAGTCATGACAGAGCTGAGCAAGAACACAAAGAGTGACCTGATCTTGGTTTATTTTGGGGATAGAAAAGTAAGTATTTAAATAGACTACAGGAATTGTTTAAAGAGTAGCGGGAAATATTATTGACCGATTCAGCTGGGAAGGATACAGTTGAATATAATGTGATTCCTGACACCTACTATAATATGATAGAACATGGGTTGGTTTGGGGTTTTGTTGTTGTTGCTGTTGTTGGAAAGCGAAGTGATAGGTTAAAAGCGACATTAGAAGACGCATCTGTCAAGAAGAGGATGTGTGGAGACTGATGGAGAAAGCAATTAGGATCCCATCCCAGGGACCCACGGAAGGGGCATGGGAGGCTGGACCAGGATGGTTGGAGTTGGTGTTGCAAGAGGAGAGGAAGACACGGTGCTGAAGTAATTAGATGCAAGAGTCAACAGGCCTTGGTGACTAATACAAGTTGAACATTGAAATGAATATTTAAGAAGCAGGCTTGCGACTCTTCCGCAGCGCTAGTCTATCCTGTGAAGAGAAGAGAGTTTAAAAAATGGCCAAGATTTCCTACGTTGTGTTCTATGTGGCAGCTTCATTTTCGTAACCCTCCCCCCAACATTTGCTTGTTTATTCTTTAGTTCAGACAGACTAGGAAGGCAAGGTAGATGGGCTCCCTCCTGAAGCTTTCATTAGAGCTGACGAGACCAATGGTCAATCAGTACATTAAAAAAAACAAGACCATTGTGAATGACAAGAAATGCTACCCAGGAAGTTCATGTGTGGTGTTAGACAGTAGATCAAGGAGCCAAAGCAGGGAGTGGGACATGGGACATGTTCTAAAGAACACTGATTTAAGAGCTCTCTGAGCAGGTGACATCGAAGCTGAAACCGGAAGCATGAGAAGAGATCAGCTAGGTAGAGCAGAGTGCAAAGATGTGTTCAAGCAGAGGGCCAGCAATAGCGAAGATCCTGAGTGGGACAGATGTGAACATATTCAAGGACTACAGGTGAGTCCCTGTGGCAGGACCTGGAGGAAGAAGCAAGGTTAGCAAGATTAAGAAGAGCCAGGGCATGTGGGACTCGGCAAGTCATAGCAACACTCTGAATTCAGTGGCAAGCCACTGAAAGATTCAAACACAAGAGAGGGAAGATGTGACTCAGCTGCCATCTGGAG